AATAACACGAGATATGTTTACCCAGTTCGGAACAACTTTCCTACTCTGGGGGATACCAAGCCAGAGACGAAATCAACTAGATATCATCAGTTTTCAGACCTTACAGCAAACCACCGGTTTACAGTCTACGCATTTAATCACTACCCTTTTCTTAAATTCTACCTAAGACGCACTTAGGTATGAGGCCCTCCTCAAATCCATCTTCAATTACACTCGACAATTGGAGCAAACTCTAAACACAAGTAGAGAACAAAACCAATCGTAATCTATACTTCTAAAACACATGAGACTCGATGTTCAAAAGCTTATGAGAATTGACACACAGTATGTTCAATGCTTAAAAGCTATGAACATATAAAAAAGAGAACTTACAACCCAGAAAAACAATCCTACTCTTCTATCAATATGATATTAGAGAGGCTCACAAAATAAGGATTATACAACTCTAAAAACACACACGTAAGTTCTACCTAATACTAGGTATACACCAGTCTATTTATAACTTTATTCTAGACTGAGTTGGGCTTCAAAACCGCGACAGTGAGGCTCCAAAAAGTATGCAAAAAGTCCTCCAAGAAAATAGGTCTTCAATCATTAGTTTCCTAATAAATCTCCATATTTAGAAAATGATCAAATCTTAGAAACCAATCAAAGAATATTCTGACCAATCAATCTTGGATGCCACATAAGCTAACTGAATATTCAATAGCTACCAATCAGCTGATTCACACTGTCACCTTGTTGCATACACAATGATTTATCTCCTTGTTGGGAGATCTTACTCGACATGTTAAAATAGAATGCTGAAACATCTTGTTGAACATGTTGCTGCTAAAATGGTTTACCAAAATGTAAGCCAACCATAATTTTAGAGAAATAACACGTTCCAACTTTTTGTTAAATGTTTTAGACAAGGGGCTTTGCCCGTTTTTGTATGATTGCTTTTAATTTGGGTCTGCGTGTCTCACTTTTGTACTATACAGACAACACCGACCTTCGTGGTCAGATTTTGAATGTTTTTGCTTTGCTCCTATATTCTTTATTTAGATATTTTATCGTTGTGTTTGACCTGTTCATTTCGTGAAGTGTGGAAATTTATGCTCGACCTTAGTTATTGTCGACACATATGAAGATGTATCGAGGAGGCGGATTCGGGGTCCACATGGACAAGACCAAGACCGTTGTTGGGGTCTTGACTTTGTGGCGTGAACTTCCCCATCACGGGCTGGGTATTCTGCCTATTTGGTACTTCGACGGTGAAGCTCAGTCGAGGTGTCCCCGTCGGGCTAAGGTTCCACTTGACCAATGAGCGAAAACCTTCCTTTTGTTATTGGTTGGAGGCTATGTTCGTACCTCAACATGCTTCTGTGGTCGAGCGAGCCCTGTCATTTTTTGGAGAGGGTACATCGATTTCTAGGCCCTGGCGTTTACTTGGGACTTAGTTGTAATATTGTTTTAGCTTTATAGTGTTCCACAGTCGAGGTAGTTGTTCTCCACTTGGGTGTTTGAGGTAGTAGGCCCCCTTTCCCGTCACCCCGCAGACACGATAAGGGCCTTCCCAGTTGGCAGCCATCTTGCCTTCACGAGAATCTTTCTGATTTGTGTGTAGGACTAGGCTACCGACTTGGAATTCGCGTTTTATGACCTTGGCGTCATGCCGCACAGTTATATGCTGCTTCAGTGTGGCCTCGCGTAGAGACGCCCTTGATCGGATCTCTTCGACCAGGTCGAGCTCTTCCCCCATGGCCTCGTTGTTTAGTTCTTCGTCGAGAGAGAATTCAGTTCTTCTAGACGATTCAATGATTTCCACGGGGATGATTGCTTCGGTACCGTAGGTTAGTCGCAATGGAGTTTTCCCGATCATTGAGTGCAGTGTCGTCTTGTACGTCCAAAGCATGTTATAGAGCTCTTTGACCCATCTCTTTTTGGCCTCGCCTAGCCCGCGCTTGATTCCTCATAAAATGACTCTGTTCGCGGCCTCAGCTTGCCCATTCATTTGAGGGTGTTTGACGGAGGTGAAATGTTGTTGGGTGCCGAGCTAGGCGATGAAATCTTGGATTTTCTTCTCGGTGAACTGGGTCCCGTTGTCGGTGACGAGCGCTTGCAGTATGCCGAATCAGACGAGCATGTTTCTTTTATAGAATTGAAGAATGTCGCGTGATGTGAATTTGGCGAGGGCTTCGGCCTCTATCCATTTTGTGAATAGTCGACAACTACAATCACAAATTTATTTTGGTATGATCCTTGGGTGAAAGGGCCGAGGATGCCCATCCCCCACTAGGCGAACGACCATGGGGACGATAATTTTTTAAGCTCGTGCAGGGGTGCTAGGTGCATGTCTGCGTGTCGTTGACACCTGTCGTGTTTTTTAACGTGCTCATTCGCATCCTGCTGCATGGTGGACCAGTAATACCTTGCTCGCAGCGCCTTTCGTGCTAGGGATCTTCCGCCCAAGTGTTGGGCATTGATTCCTTTAGGGATTTCCCATAGGATCTTGGGGACTTTAGACTCCTCGACGCATTTCAGGAGTGGGATGGAGAAACCCCGTTTATATAGCTTCTGCTCGACTACTACGTAAGAGCATGCTCGTCGTTTGGTTGCATTAGCCTCTTTTGGTTCAGCAAGTAACTCTCCCTTAGTGAGATAATTGAATATTAGGGTCATCCAACATGTACTGTCCTCGATGGCGTTCACCTCGATGTCATACCCCAAATTTGCCGGCCCTAAGTGCTACTGTCAAGTTTATTTTCAAACTTGGATTTTTATAAAATTCTCTTGATTTACATTAATATTTTGGGGTTTTATAAATATTCGTTCTCAAGCCCAGTTAAAATATAATAATTTATTTCAAATTATTTGTATTTTTAAATAATAAATACTTACTCATCTTCATGTACTTTCAATTGACTTTTTATTTCCAATAATTAACATAACACAATTGCTAAGAAATTAAGCTTGTAAGTATGAGGTCGCGAGTTCAAACCTCTTATGGTGCACTTTTTAACATTTTTTGTATTTCTTTTTGTTACTAATTTTCTTTCCTTTTTTGCAAATCAGGTTTTGAGTTTTTCATACATTTTGGGCTAACTTACTTACTAAGCATTTTGACCTAATTTCACTATATAAATATGACTATTGTTGTCCTAGTTTCTCATCAACAATTTCACAACTTCTCACAATTTCACTCACTCACATACACTACGTTTTTGCAAACTTGTTTATTTTCTTTTCAATAATTTTAGTGATATTTTTTGTTTTGGCCAATAATTCAAATATGAGACCTCCCTTTGATTTTCAAACTTTCAATTTTTATTTATTTATTTTTTAACCAAATGATGATAGATGGTTCACTTCTTTACTTTTTTTAATTTGTTCATTGTATTTTGTTAGCAAAAATTATTCTTTGATTGATGTTTCCTATCACTATTATATTACCCACTTACACTTATTTCATACTATACATCAAATTGCTTTTTTTAAATCTTTATCCTAACAATTCACACATCTTTCTCACACTAACTATTTTCATTCTATACATTTTTTTACTAATCCACATATCATACACACTAACAAATGCACGTCCTCACCTCAAAATCTTGAAGCCAAAGATTTTAAACATTTTTGAAACCTGCGATAAAATCTGAATTCACGAGGAAATCATGTTAACGGGGCATATTCATCATCTTCTTTCTTATTTTTATTTATGATGTTTTTACCACTTATACTTTAGTATTTGGTTAGCTCAAACACAAACCTGAGAATGATGACACAAGCTTCATCAACACCATACATAATCTAACAACCAGTAAATAATCATTAACCCAAAAATGTTACTCCCTCCGTTCCTTTTTAATTGACGTTTTAGCCAAAAACTCTCCAACCAAGATACATGAATTGTTATAATTTTTTTCCATTCTACCCTCATTCTCTTTCTAAATAAAACTCATTAAATTATTTAATTCAAATAATTAATTTCATATTTTGGGACACACAACTCTCTCTCTTCCGTAACTATTCCTAAATTTTTGGAATTAATCTTGCATGCTATAAGAATATGTACTGCTGTTTCATTAAATATTTACTTTTACTATAAAAATATTTATTGCTTATTGTTTCAATGAATGGCTAAAGGAAAACTTAAGTTTTCCACTGTAAAAATACTTATTCCCTCCAATTATTTTAATAAAAACGTAAGTTTCCCACCATAAAATTAAAACCAATGATGAGGTTGAACCAATAATAAAAGGAGTAGTATATATAATATGGTTTCATATTATAAGTTCAAAATATTTATATCTCATCAAATATGGCTTTAGAGGAGGTTGAAGCAACTAATGACATTGATGAGTCCTATGAAGATAATTTACAAGAGGAGGTTGAAGGAAACAATGACATTGGTATATTTTTTATTTCATGTGTGTTTGTTTTTTATGTGGTGGTTTCTATATTTAAATTCACAGTGATATTTCATGTGTGTTTATTTTTTATGTGGTTGTTTCTAGTAATTTTGTTATTTTTTTTAAAAAAATTATAGTGTATGTTGCAGAAAATTTTGAAGCAGAATCTAGAGAAAGAAAGAAATTAAGAGTCTTAAGCAATGAAGAACGCATGTCTATTTATCATGAGCTACTACAAAAAAGCGTTGATGGACAATTACGTAAAGGAGCTACAAATGAGGTGGCTTCATCAAATTCGGTTCGGTTCCTATAAGAACTGTTCAACGTATTTGGAAAAGAGCAAAAGAAAGTGAAACGCGTGATGTCTCTCATAGGAAGATAAAAAATTGTGGACGTAAGAGAATTTCAATTGATGAGAATCAAATTCGTGAACTTCCTTTCAGTCAAAGAACAAACATTCGATCTTTAGCTTTTGGGTTGAAAACCAATCCAACATCGGTGTTCAGGCTTATAAAATCAGGGCTTATACGGCGTAATTCAAATGCCATAAAACCATTATTGAAAGAAGAAAACAAAATATCTAGGCTGGAATTTTGTTTATCAATGCTTGAAGGTACACCACATGATCCAATGTTTAAAAGCATGCACAATATTATTCATATTGATGAAAAATGGTTTTATATGACTAAAAAATCCGAGAAGTATTATTTGCTCCCAGATGAAGATGAGCCATATCGAACATGTAAGAGCAAAAATTTCATTGCCAAAGTTATGTTCTTAGTTGCTCAAACTCAGTCACGATTTGACGCAGGAGAAAATGAAACTTTTTCGGGTAAAATTGGTGTTTTCCCGTTTGTTACCCATGAACCGGCTCAAAGGTCAAGTATTAACAGAGTTGCAGGAACAATAGTAACAAAAGCAATAACTTCGGTTAAGAGAGATGTAGTAAGATCATTCCTTATTGACAAAGTCCTACCGGCTATAAGAGAAAAATGGCCAAGAGATGACTTGAAGTCAACAATATTTATTCAGCAGGATAACGCAAGGACACATATAAACCATAATGATCCTTTGTTCTGTGAGGCTGCTACCAAGGATGGGTTTGATATTCGTTTAATGTGTCAGCCTGCAAACTCTCCAGATTTAAATATCTTAGATCTTGGGTTTTTCTCGGCTATACAATCATTGCAATACAAGGAAGCACCAAAAACTATTGATCAACTTATCGATGCAGTGGTGAAGTCATTTGAAAATTTTCCTTCAATTATGTCCAATCGTATATTTGTATCATTGCAATTATGCATGGTAGAGATCATGAAAGTGACAGGTTCCAATAAATATAAAATTCCTCATATAAATAAGGAAAGGCTAGAAAGAATAGGACAACTACCAATTCAAATTAAGTGTGATCCAATATTAATACAAGAAGTCAAGAATTACTTAAACATGGAGTAACACTTATTGTAAGTGGGATGTAGACATTTGAGATTTTCAAATAGAGTTTTTTTTTTAAGTTTATGGATTTTACTCCTAAAATTTAGTTTATGGAATAACAAATTTAGTTACAGTAACTTTTGCCATAAATATAGTTTATGGATGTAGTCACTTTTATCATATGTATTGTGCGTGAGAATTAAGTTTATATTTTCCTAAACTTTTGCCATAAAAAGTTACAGTAACTTCCTAAACTTTAGCAAATCTCCTGCACGCAACTTCCTAAACTTTTGCCATGATTTTTTTTAATGTATCAATAAAAAAACAATAAGAATGAACTTAAGAAATGCATTCCTAAATTGTAGCAATAACAAGGAATTCTTCTCCATACTTATTTTATATAAAAAAATACCAATAATAAGGACTTCTTAAATAACAACTCCTACAACTTATACACTTAAGCCAAATCTAAAATGAGATACTCCATATTTAGTCCACAAATATTTTTCAGTAAAATTTTGGAAGAAGTTTTTTTATCATCTTTTTTATCACAGGTCGAAACTCAGTATGGTGGGAAGATTCTTCTCCGTTTTTTTCTCCTTCTTCTTCGTCTTCTTCAGGAAATTTGTTCAAATCAAATTCATAATCTGCCTCTTCATTTAAATCAAAATCCAGTACAACTCTTGATAATACTTCTTCTTCTTCGTTGTCATCTTGTTCTTGAATCTTGCCAAAAGAGTCTTCCACGATTTCCCCTTCTTCTTGCTCCAATGACTCTTCCACTCTTTCTTCTTTTTGAAGATCCATGGAGTCTTTTGTTGTTCCACCACAGCTCTTTTGTTTTGTACGGGATAATTTAAACAATGGTACTAATCCTTTTATAGAATCATTAGTCTTCAATTGAAAAATTTGTTCCTTTGACAAAATTTAATGCTAAACATTTTTCTATGTAATATTGGAATATAATTTGAAGTGAGTGTGAAGTGAGTTATTACATATATTAAATTTTCATGAGAATAGGAATACGTATTAAGAAAGAGAATTTTATGGAAAATGTGAAGTGAGTTATTACATATATTAAGAAAGGAAAATTTTATAAAATATAAAGTGGACTTATTTAAAAAGTAAGGGTATAATTGGTAAATTGTAACCTTAAAACATCAAAACGACACTTAAATAGGAACAAAAAAAAACTTCTAAAACGACACTTAAAAAGAAACGGAGGGAGTAATTTATTGTATTATATGTTCTTGTTGTGTTTTACTTTACAGGAAAATTGAAAAAAAAAGTAGAAGAACAAAGAGCAGCTACGACCACCGCGAAACGGCAGACGAATCCTCTTTGATCGCAACCCAACGACCACGATCTGCAACACTGCCGCGACATCTTGCTTCGATCACGCATCGCTACCCCACTTCACAACCACAAACAACACTTCCGACCACCGTCATATTCCAAACAAGAACAACAACAAATCCTCTTCTCTTGATTCTTAGGTTTTAATTTTAGTTATGGGCTTGGACCTATTTCTTAATTCCCTCAACAGCCCCCTCATCTTTCTATTTCATATCCCTTATTCTGGATTTTAGTCTTTAATTAATTAAATATATTAGGTTAGTAACTTTTAGCTAGTCTAATTAGTTATTTTAATTAGTCAGTATATTAAATTATTTAAGTAATATAAGAATATTTTTCAAATTTAATTAATTTAATATTTTACATCAAAATATTAAAATCTATGCAAACTCATCAAAATTGTCATCCGCGAGCGACACGTGGCCAATATTTGGTCACGTGATAAGGAGATTATATCATACTCCCCCGCTCTATATCCAACCATATTCTCTAATCAAATCAAAACTCAAAACAGATAACCAACAACAATTCAAATACTTTTCTACTAACTTAATCAAAACTTCAAGATCATTTTCAAAAAAAAAAAATTAAATAGCATTGTCTTCAAATCAAACTGCGAACTGCGTCTACGATCACTCAACTTACAACCCAGATAAGGTTTAAGGTTAATTCGAAAGCAATTCTATGCAATCTTATAAAAAACAACAACCCATTGTGAACTACGAATTAGGACTTTGATTCCTCCTAAGAGGATACGTAGGCATACGACTAAAATCGTGGTGAGTTCCCCTAATAAAAGTTAAAACCCTTTTTTTCTAAAGATTGCGCTTCTAACCCTAGTATCATTGTGAGCAAGGTAGATGAGGGGTGCCTAACACCTTCGCTTCGTCTAAGAACGAGCCCAACAACCTAGAATTTTTGACTTAATTAGGGTTATTCCTTTATATTCTCTTCCTTAGGATAAAAATTAAGGGTGGCGACTCTGAATTTAAAACCAGTTACAATAGCTGGCGACTCTGCTAGGGACTCAACCCTAGGTTTAGAAGCCTTGACTTTCGGTTTTAGGGTTTTTTGGGTTTTTTGTTTTTTAGGTTTTTATATTTGCATATTTAATTATTTATTTATTTCTTCTTATTATTTTTATTCATTGTATTTATTCATTTGTGGTGATATTTTATTATTGCAAAAATATTTTTCAAAACCCTTAGAAAGAAGGTTCGTCTATTAGCCAAAGGGATACATCAGCCTTATGAGTTTATATGCTGACTTCGCCTAGAGTCGGTGGAATTCCACGAAAGGAATACGTATCAAGAGATATTCTCTTGGGGAGTAGGACTTTAAAATGAAACCTATGACTCTTTGTACAAACCTTCAACCAAAATCTCATGACGAGACCTTTCATGACCTAGAGATGAAAGTTTCAATCTGTAAAGAGGCTCCACTTAAGGGAGGCCCATGTGCCTTTCCCTCTAGTGTTATCCATGATAAACTTAAGGAAACCACCTTATAGGAAGGGTAGAATATTCGTAGGCCAATACTAGGAACCTACCAACTAAAGATACATTTCAAAAATACCAATATAATCCCTAAACCCGCAAGGGTTATCTTTTCTTCCACTACTATATTTAGCCCGTAGGGCTTTCATCATTTTATGATATAATCCCTAGTCAGTAGGGATTTTCTTTTGAAAATATTAATCCCTAGTTAGTAGGGATCCCCTTTCGTCCGACATTATCCTTAAAGGTCTTATAGAATCTTGTTCATCTTCCCATGAAGGACGTCCTCTCTAATGTATGCCATGTGGCCTATATCAAGCCATGGGATCTGGTGACTGTTGAATGGTCATCATGTGCTCTCTTCCATGAAATTCCATCAAGTCCAGCCTTCATCTCAACCATTTGTTGGTCTATCACAATTCCTAGCATGTAGGAATTCACGTCCCTCTATTATAATCCATAGCCTGTAGGGATTCTTCTTCGTCTTTCTTTATCCTTAAGGAGTTCATGCCTGTCTCAATCTCGGAGTCAGTATAGATTGTCTTCATTTCCATGTTTATCATTATCTTCGTCCTTAAGAAGTTCTTTCCTGTCTCAATGTCTGAGTCAATGTAGGACATCATCATTTTCATATCTACCATTAAACTTGTATAAGGTACCCTTACGTCTACCCTCCTACTACGTGTGTGTCGCATTGCATATCTATGAAACTTTTTTTGCATACCCAAAAGATTTTTTTTTTGCATACCCAGGTGTTGCACCCCAAAATTTATCCTCTTATTTTATTCAGGGCATGCTCATTAAGGTCCTCAATTGCTCAAGGGGCTTCAAATGATTTTCATGGCATCCTATATGCTTCAGCATAATAGCACAACTGAAAGAAAGAAAAGAAGTACATATGACAAAGCGTAAGTCGAAGGCTGAAGATATGCCTAAGGGTTGTTGGGTCAAAGCATCTTCGACAACAGTATGTAGGCTAATTTGATGGATCAAAGGAAGGCTAATTTGGAGGAAATGTGAGGAGGTTAATTTGAAGTCTTCGATTGGAGCTTCGAAGGGTTTGTTTTTGAACCAATGAAATATAAGCTATTTGAAATGTCCAAGGAAGGCTGGATCGAAAGAAAGCGCGTGAGGAAGCTTTTTCAGAGGTTTTCGATTGGAAGATATAGTAAAGTTATCGAACGGTGTTGTTTTCAAATCATGGAAATATAAGCTATTCGAAGCACTACAAGAAAAGACCTTTCAATTAACGCGTTATTTGAATGGGCACTTTGCAACGAAGAATATTTTGGAATCGAAAGGCTTTTATTTTATCCAAAGAAGACAGGTGGAAAGCTCGTGATTCGAAGGACATGCCATCTTCAGGCATGGCATGGTCGAAAGACAGTTAAGAACTTCTAGCATGCACCTGAACAAGTGTGGGATGTTTGAAGAGAAGTTCTGATGCTCTTAGGTTACCCTTCGATTGGTGCAATATAAGTTGTATTCACCAATCGAAGGTGGACTAATGCGCAACAAAGTAGTTTCTTGTAGGCAAGCAAAGACATAAGCAGAGGGTGGGAGTTAGAATCAAAGGGCCACCTGCACAATTACATTCGAAGGAAATAACAAAATGAAGCTTCGACACGCCTGAAGGAAGTGTTCGATTGAGCTAGTTGGATATTTTCAGATCAAGCAACTAAGGCAAATAGTGGCTCAATCGACGAAGCCACAATGATGAGGCCTTGAGCCATTCGAATTAGAACTCAGAGCTAATTGAAGAACAAGGCTTGAGGGCATTCGAAAGAATTCAAGGAGTGAAACCTGTCCAGGTTCATTCAAAACCCAAAAGGGTAGAAAATCATCAAAAAAAGCAACCTTTTAAGGCTTTCGATTTTTCCTTCAAAGCCATGATTAATGGTTGATTCTTGCCATTCTCGTTCACCATTGCGCCCCTATAAATAAAAATCTAAAAGCACAAGCAAAAGGCAGAGACACAGAAACGTTGCCACCAAAGAAAAAAACATTTTTTTCCTATACACGCATTAGCCAGACGAAGCACTTCCTCCACAGACGAAAACATTACCCCCAGAAAACCACACCAACTTTTCTCCAAATTTCAACAAAGTGGTTCCATACTCAAAACTGCAGATCGAAGTATACCGACCATATGTATAAATTTCGAAATTC